AACAAATGGGATCTTTGCTTATCTCTTTCATGTAGAAAAATTTATTTCACTTCTATTTCAGGTTTTCGGTAATGTAGTAGGACAAGATGGCATCACTATATCCCTGTTTTTTACACAGATATATTAGAGATCTTATTGGAAATGTTAAACTATTCAATAATAAACTATTCGTCTTTTAGAATTTCTTTTTCCTCAAGTGTTGATAAGTACCTGAAAGTCTACAAGCAGACAAGAAGAATTATTCAGTGGAACTTCATTTCTTGCTCTGTTTTTGTCCTCAGCAGTAGAGGGTGGTGAGATTTCAACCCAGCCTAGCAGGACCAGTAAGTCTGGAAAGAAGTAGCTCCAGTTCATATTGGCACCTGCTAATTCTAGTTCCGAAGACCATGGGAAATCTCTTGCCTATTTAGCTCAGTGATCATCTAAGATGGAAAATTCTTGGGCTCAGCTGTGAGGGATCCCAAGTTTATATGTACCACTAATGTCTCACAAATCAAGAATCCAAGAGAATCAAGAGACTGTAGTTCATTCCTTATATTAAATTCTTAGGACTGCTGACTGGGTCGGCAGTTTTGGGGGCTAGAAGCCTGATATCAAGGTGCCAGCTGGACTGGTTCCTTCTGAGGACCACGAGGGCAGGATCTGTTCCAGGCTTGTAAATGGGCTTCTTTTCCATGTGTCTTCACATTATCTTCCTCTGTTTGTATGTGTGTCCAAATTTCCTCGTCATCATCTTCTTTTTTAAATTTAGAAGTGTATACTGTTTAATCTACAAGGTTTATATAGCTTTAGCTAAAAATAGAAAAAAAAGCAAAACAAAAACAGTAAAGCCAAGACACTCTTCCAAAGTCTGGACCCTTCCAGCCTTCCAAATACAAGAGCTCTGGAAGTTGTATATACCAAATTTCCTCTTCTTAAAAGGTCACCAGTCACATTGGATTAAGGCTCACCCTATTAACACCATTTTAACTTAATCACCTCTGTAAAGGCCCTATCTCCTGATACTGTCACATTCGGAGGCTCAGGAAGTTAGGGCATCAGTATCAATGTATGAATTTGGGAGTGGGGGGAGGACACGATTTAGCCCATGACAGTCCTGAATCTCCTTTGCTAGATGCATGACTGCGGGCCAGTCACTTCACCAGTTGGGACATTGCCATCTCTATCAGAAAAGGGGTTTGGGCTAGGTCATCTATAAAGTCCTTTCTGCTCTAAATTGTAAATATAATGAGATACCAACTTTTAGTTTAATTGTTTAAAATTTTAGAAGGTAACTGGATGTTTTGCTGGTGTCAACACCCCCCTTTAAAAAAAAAAATTCGGCCGGGCATGGTGGCTCATGCCTGTAATTCCAGCACTTTGGGATGCTGAGGCAGGCAGATCACGAGGTCAAGAGATCGAGACCATCTGGCCAACGTGGTGAAACCTCGCTTCTACTAAAAATACAAAAATTAACTGGGTGTGGTGGCGAGCATCTGTAGTCCCAGCTGCTCGGGAGTCTGAGGCGGGAGAATCACTTGAACCCAGGAGGCGGAGGTTGCAGTGAGCTAAGATCACGCCCTGCACTCCAGCCTGGCAACAGAGGGAGACTCCATCTCAAACAAAAAAAAAAAAAAATTCTCACTTTTTGTTTCTATTGTTCTCTCAAGTACCCCTCTGCCTTCTGTTACTTCTTTGCTGCATTCTGAGAGGATTGGGGTGGGGAGCACTCTTTCCTGTAGAACCCCATAACCCACCTATTTTCATCAATCTATTTGAAATTCAAAGCCAGGGGTTAAAATGTCCATTTTCAATTTGAGATGTCTAACTTTCAGATAAATCTATTAACATGCATTTCTAAGTGACTTTTAAGCTAAGCATTTTATTTTATTAAGCTTGTATAGAAGGGTAACCATTATACTTATATAATAAAGTGCACTTTCAAAAATAGTTCAAATATAAAATAATATTCATAATATTTTATGACAAACCTCCTAGAACTTATATGTGTCTTTCTCCCCAGAGTAGTCTCTATGGGTGCCTAAACAATACTGCATTATTAGATTTTTTTCAGTTTATAAGCCACACAAGAAAGTTAGCCCATGTCATCTCTAGAAGTATAAAAATAGGCAGTGTTCTGAGAGATATATCTGTTTATTCCTAGTTCAGTAACAGCACAATGAGATGCTAATTTATGAGGCACTTTTTGTTTATCTTATTGTCTTATTGGCAACCAGCAACTCCTGTTGCATTTTTGACATGGGAATCTATCAGGGTGTGGTTAATAAAGTACATTTCCATGGTAAGTATTCTCTAAGAAAAAATAAACCAAGATTTCATCAGAGACAAAAATTACTGCAAACTGTAGTTACCAGTTTCTGGTGATTTGTATAACTGAGCTTTTGATTTCAAAAATTAAAAAGTTCTCTTTAGTGTAACATATTTTTGTGTCCAATAATTTTACTTGAAAAACAAAAGAGAATTTTCTTTACCATCAAACAATGTTGCTATAATGAGTGGTGATATATTTAGTCCTAGTGGACCAAAGAGAAATAAAACGGCTTTGATTATGCTGGTTTAAGAAAATATATCCAATTAAACAAAGGTTAATATTTATGATGTTTGATTTAGTAAAATTATAAGACTACCAAAGAAAGCTAGAAGAGCAAAAGAACCTAAAATTTATATAAAGAATTAAATGTTAATAATTCAAAGGTTTAGAATTTTTTCCACCTTTCGAATACTAAGTTGCTGTTATAGATTTACTACCATTATTACCCCTATTTTCCATTTTACTAAAAAATAATAACACAGGTGATTATGATAAATCAGTATAGATCTTTAGGCTCAACACAACCTTGCTACCTTTTAAATCTTTTTATTATACAACAAACACATATGCGTTATCAAGAAAAGATGAGTTAAGCAAAATGAAAAAAAAAATAGTCTTAGCAACTAGAAATAAGCACCATTAAAATTTCTGTGTATTAAAAGATAATATACTGCTGAATTTTTTTTTCTTGAAATGTCCCTCTTTTCTTTTGCTTTTCATTTTCTTAATCCCTGACCTTCTAGTGTTGAATTTTCTGGACCACCGTTATACCCCCTCATCAAGAGGGCATTTTTTCCTGCAGTAGCTGAGCACAATGGTCATATTGAAGAAATTCTCTTGTGGGGCTTTGCCTAGAGGTAAAATCCTCTTGGCCGGGTGTGATGGCTCATGTCTGTAATCCCAGCACTTTGGGAGGCCGAGGCGGGAGGATCTTCTGAGGTCAGCAGTTTGAGAGCAGCCTAGCCAACATGGTGAAATGCCATCTATACTAAAAATACAAAAAATTAGCCATCATAGTGGCACATTCCTGTAATCCCACCTACTCCGGAGGCTGAGGCAGGAGAATCACTTGAATGCTGGAGGCAGAGGTTGCAGTGACCCGAGATCTAGATTGTGCCACTGCACTTCAGCCTGGGTGACAGAACAAGACTCCGTCTAAAAAAAAAAACAAAAAAACCCCCAAAAAAACAAAAAAAAAAACAAACCCACAAAAACAAAACAAAACAAACAAAAAACACCAAAGTAAAACCCTCTTCACGGTGATAACTATAAAGCTTGCTTTTGCCTCTCTTTGTCACAACAAACTGTTTGCAGTCTGATGCTGTGCTCAAAATTGAGAATTCTCACTGACTGTTCCAGGCATCTGTCTACTCATTCTTGCCATGTTGAGGGCTGTCATTTCTCACCGCTGAATGCTTTTTTTTTTTTCTGCTTTTTAAAAATCTTTTCCTGTTTGCTTTGAACTTCAGTAAAAACAGTTTAAAAAAAAGTATATTAAGAAGGTAATATACTTTTATTTATTTATTTTTGTTTTTTTTTTCTTCTTCTTCTTTTGGTTCCTTTTCAAATCCATTTGCCACACTGACACTGGAATAAGCCTGAATGGGGGTCTGTATTTCTTCCAGTAGTTAAATTCAGTCACTGAGCTGTTGCTGTATTTGTAACTGCCATGCTAGATCCGGGGCTGACCATTCCTGAGAAAATGTGGAGATCGTTTTAGACTGGCATGGTGCTGGTGCAGGGCGTCAGTCATTATCTTCTGTGTCTGCTAATTCTTGCATCATTTCTTCTACTCTGTAACCTGGTTGGCTATGAAAAGTAATTCTTCCTCACTGATGCTGCAGGCAATGGGTGAATATCCAATTGTTCTCTGAGTTTCTTGTCATGGGATACAAAGAACAAATCTCATGTGTCCCTGTTTCTGAGAGGTTCAAAGGGAATGCACAGATTCTAGCATAGGATGACTTCCAGCTTCTAACTATTTGTCTATGCATTCCATTTCCTCACCCCTGCCAGAGGTTACAATCATGGTCACGGCTGTTCTGAGAAATTCACTGCCAAAACTGGAGGGAGGGAAATGCAAATTCAGCTTCTTCCCAAGCTTCTGGGCGCGGCTGGCAAGTTTTGCCTTCCCTGCCAGCAAGAGCCCTGGCTTTAGGAGTCTTGCTACAGTTTTCCCAGACTGGAGGTCTTCCGGCTGACTTCTGGTTCTTAGCGAATTCCTGCCAAACACCTCCCCTTTCCCCAGTATCCATTTGTTTTGAAGGTTCTTTGCAGTCTTCTTGCCAATAATTGTCTATAAACAAATGGAGTTGTTTGCATGCCTAGGTGGAGTAAAATATTTAGAAAACTATTCTATAAATATGAAACAGCCCAGATTTGGGCCAGAAGTCCTGGCTCTGAGTCTCTTGTTAGCCACTCTTAACTGTGAGTTTTTGGACAAATCTTTTCTCGCACTCAGAACCTGAGGTCTGAACTGCTATACAGGTGACCTGCTGCCTTCTCGGAGAGAAATCTGAAAGACAACAGAGCCCTCACATTGGCTTTGCCTGTGCACAGCAGATACCGCCAATTTTGGGCGGGTTACACTTGTTTACCATGTTACTTACTTCAGAAATCAATAAAACTTGTTTACCATGTTGCTTACTTCAGAAATCAATAAAATTCTCTTCATGCTTTTATTTTACAGGTTCTTACCTCTGTTGTTAGATTATTGTCCAAATGTGTTAATGCCCAAGTGACTGATATCAACTCCAAGGGATTTGAATTGAGGAAGATCGTTACTACAATTGAGACTCAGAACTTGGAAGGCCTGCATCATGAGGGCCAATTCTGCCGTAACCCCTGTCCTCCAGGTATATTACACAAAACATCCAGAGATTACAGTGAAAGTCACAGTTAGGAATAGCACATAGTCATGGCTATAATAATTTTACAGATTTTGGTTCTCCTGTATTATATAGCATAATTGAGAGAAAAACAACTATGAAATTATTTTCCAAAGATGAGTTTTATTTATATTTAGCATGCTTATTTGATGTGGTTATGGATAAATGTAATTTACAAGTGACATGCACCTCTGAAATGAGAAGATTGGTCTATTTGGCTCCATTTTTTTCCTAAGCGAAAATGACTCATTTGTGAATATGAAAGCTTATCATGTCAAAACTGATGCATCTATCATAACAATAGTGGAACTCTGAAAGCAAGAGACTTCTACTCTTAAGGGATATGTCTCAGCACTTCCCTTCAATCAGAAGGTCTCTAAGAAAGCTGTCCTGGCACTGAAGCCTGCAAAATATATTTGCATTTTGCAGCTGAATAACTAGATGAATAAGAAAAGCAACAGGCAGAAACCAACAGCTTTTTTTTTTTTAAATCAATACTTTGAATGGGAAACTAATTTCAGATGAGAAATCCTTCAAACACTGGTACATTAAAAGCTAAGCAAAATACAATTGTGCAAACATTTCTTCAACTTTGAGTAGAGTCGAAAAAAGGAAAATAGCACATGGGTTCATGTGATAGATTAGTAGAACAAAAAAAGGACTGTAGTATGTTTCATGGTTGGCCTCCCAGGCTTCCAGCACTCAAGCTGCAAAACATGATGGGTCCTGTTTGTGAAAAGATTCTACCAGTCTCCCTATGCTTCCTGTCCAGATTTTAATAACCCTTATGGAAATATCTCCTTTGTAACCCAACCCGTTTTACTTAAATCCATTTACACTTAAATCTTCTCCGACACAAATAAAAAATGGCTTCCTGGCTTTATTATGACCTGCTAAGCACAATCAATTTGCCCTATGAATCAAAATCTTTGTTCATAATTTTAAAACCTAAAATGCAAATTAAAATGAACAAAATATGCTTTGCACATCAAACTGTCAAGGATTTTTGTCTATTGCTTTTTTGGTTTTGCTTTGTTTTATTTTCATTTAAGAAGTGAAGTAAATTGTTATAAACTTTTAAGAAAGACATTTGAATATATGAGTCAAAAATTTAAAAATGTTTAGACTCGCTAAGATAGCAATTAAATTTTAAGAAAATACCTTGAGAAAGTAATCAAAAATAAAGGAAAATATTGTACACATGATATTTCATTATCAATATGATGTGGGATTCCTTAGGTAAATTTTGGAATATTTAAAGACTGAAATAGTATGTATCAAACAAAGTCATATTTTCTGATACATTTCTAACATAATCCTCAATTATATAAATCTTCTTAAGTGATTTCCACCTGATCTGGCTGGATTCACTGATTCTCCCTGATTCCTCTATAAAATATCCTGGATGGCATCCAACCATGTTAAATACTCTTCCCACTTCAATTCCCTCTTTTTGAAGTTTAGGCTTATCAATATTTAAGTTGCTTCCAAATCTGTTTACACTCATTGGTGTTGTGATATTCATATGTAATTTGATTGAATATTGTATAAATTAATGAAATACAAATACAGAGAAAAGACAGATTTTATCTCTATGAAAATTAGGTTCAGTGCTTTGGAGAATTTAGTAAAGATGAGATGCTGAAATGTTGTTGATGAATTTTGTGAGAGAAAAATAAAAGTTAAGTGGTAAGAAAAATCACAAAAATCTCTAAAGCCATTCATACAGATTATTGGTATGTCTATGTTTTCATTTCATCAAAAAGGAAGGGAGGGAGGGAGGAGAATAAAAGAAACAAAGAAAGGAAGAGAAAAACAGACAAACAGGAAATTATAAGTGATGCGTTATGGATGTGACTTAAGTAAGAAAGAAACTGGGATTCTAATAACTTCTATATCACAAAATTGTCAAATGATTATAAAGTTATATTTTATAAATTAAAATAAAATATTTACAGTATTTTTAAATTGTTTCCTATGTAAATTGACATTTTTGATTAAATGATCAAAGAAGTCTTCCCCACATCATCATATTCAATAGAAGGATTCTGTGGTATACTGCCTACATATTTCATATATACACGTTATACATATATATACACACACACCTGTTATGTGTATGCTCATGTATATACATGTATGTATGTATTTATATGCATAGGAATGCAACAAAATAACAGGCAGTATCTCAAAGTTGTTGATATATAGTCTTTTGTTTGTTTGTTTTTTTGAGATGGAGTCTCACTTTGTAGTCCAGGCTGAAGTGCAGTGGCATGATTTCGGCTCACTACAACCTCTGCCTTCTGGGTTCAAGCAATTCTGCAGCCTCAGCCTCCCAAGTAACTGGGACTACAGGAGCACACCACGACGCCAGGCTAATTTTTTGTATTTTTAATAGAGACAGGTTTTTGCCATGTTTGTCAGTCTGGTCTCAAACTCCTGACCTCATTTGATCTGCCTGCCTTGGCCTCCCAACCTGATTACAGGCATGAGCCACTGTGCCCGGCCTGATACATAAGTTCTTATTATACTTTCCTGCCTTTTCCAACATTTCTATAATAAGCATATGTACCATTATACTTAAAAAAGTGTTTTAAAATCTGATTTTCAATAAAACAACTACTTATTTTCTTATTTTAATAAATTTTGTTTTCATACTTTGGCAGAACCAAAGAACCTGTGGTTTATTGTCTCTCCATTATACCAAGGATGTTGTGCTAGGCACATTCTGCAAGATAATTTATTAAAGAGACTAATTCATTCAGAGACCAGTATAATACCATTAGCAAAAAATAAAATTATACTTGGACTTGGGCTGTGTTTTCTTTAAATATTGCTACAATGTTATATAGCCCTATGCACTATTTTTGAATTTTGTTCTGGGAATCTCCAGTTTGTCTTTTTTCTATTGACAGACTATTGTCTTTATTTACTAAAATAGCATATATATTTACATGTCATAATTTGCTCATGTAGTAAATATTTTGTTTTATCAAAAAGAATAAAAAGGAATATATGAAGTTATTAAGGAATTCATGTTCCTAGGAAACACAGCAGAAATTAATTTTGCTGTATAGGTGAGCAGAGCAGATTAAACTGCTTATTTTTTTTAAACTAGTTATACCATTAACAATTAAAGTCACTAGTAATGTTTTTCTCAGACACTTCTCTTGGTATTTTCTGTCACTTTCTTCTTCATTCTCTATTCCCTTACCTTCATCTAGCTTTCTTTTTCTAGCATTTTTTAGCACTTGATATCAATATATTTATTTGTGTATTGTCTACCTCCATCCTGAGAAGGTGAAGTCTTTGGTGATGAAGGCTTTATCTTATTTCCTGCATAATATTAAACTTCTAAAAAGTTCCTAGCACTCAATAGGCATTTAATAAACACCTATCAGATAAATGAATTTTTTCAGAGAACACATTACATGATGCTTACTAATAGCAATACAGTGACTCACTTTATTTTTAAAGTAAATTAATGCAAATGTGTATATTATTTAAAATTGTTTGTTTTAAGATAACAAGCCTGATAGATAATAAATTTTGGTATAAATATGTTAATGCTTGTCAAAACTCATCAGTATGTACCCTGTCTTTTGATGAAAAAGTAATAAAAAGAGGAGAACAAAGAGAACTGTCATGCTCACTAGGCAGGCCGAGTGCAGTTCTGACAGCAATGCAAGAGAAATATTGCTATCTCCGTCATACACAGGATGAAATTTAGGCTTGGCGAAAACAACACTGTTAAAGATTTTATAGCTCTTCAAGATTTGACCAAAGCCTTTAAAACTTCAAATGTTCTTTTCCTTATTACACTATTTCTTATCAGGGTTTGTGGACTTTGGAAAGTAAAATGAAAAGTCAGAGCAATGTGAGTCAGTTTGATAATCTCAGTGTCCAGTAACAGCTATCCCCACTCTGAATATATACCCACCAACCTCTCCCCTTTCTCCAAGGAAGTTGGTTGTTGGCAAAGGCATTTCGTGCAGTGCACTTTGTCATTCTAACCTTCCTTTGTTTTGTATGCTCCTGTTGCTAATCATCCTATTTCTATGGGCTTCCGTCACTCTTTTAGCTTTTGTCTTGGGAGACTTCCTGGCTCTTGACATGACTTTTACAATAATCTTCTCCCCCATTGTATTTATATATCATTAGCCTACCCCACTCCCCTTGTGTTTTAGAAGAGTTTTGTTGTCTAGCATCCCTGCATACTTCCCACCCTGTTACCTGCCCATGTCCTGTTCATACACTTGCTCCTTTTTCCCTTGGGCAGGCGAAAGGAAAGCTAGGGACTGCACAGTCAATGAGGATGAACCAGACTGCGTGCCCTGCCAAGAAGGGAAGGAGTACACAGACAAAGGCCATTTTTCTTCCAAATGCAGAAGATGTAGATTGTGTGATGAAGGACATGGTAAGAGTCTTAAAAAGCAATTGAAAGAGATCAATCTTGGAATTCCATGTAGAACCATTTATAAGACAATTTGAAATTGGGGCCTACTGTGGTGCTGTGTTGACACACAGGAAAGGGAAGGACAGGTAACTAGGGTACCGCAGGACCAGGTACCGAGCTAATTACTGGTCTAGACCTTTATGAGTAAGTCTAGGCAATTCTTCCAGATATAGGAGAATGACTAAATATGAACCCTAGGAACAGGGTTCATCAGCTCAAATCAAAATCTCAGAAATTATTTTGTTTCTGGCCTTGACTTATGCTTGTATAATAGTGCTTGTTCAGGACCAGAAAAAGCTCAGAAGCCTGCAGTTACAAGGACACAGAAATCCAACAGTTGGGTAGGAATGCTCCCCATTTCTTTGGAGATTTAGTTGTTGATAATTCCAGCTGGGGACCTGAATTTTCATGGATATCCCAGTGTATTCTAAGGGCCCATATTAAAATATAACACAAGTATTTCTAGTTTTGTTTGACATGGAGAAACCCCTGGACATAAAGCTTTTCCCCTCCCTATTCAGCCTATAAAGCAGTGTTTCTCATCCCTGGCAGTGCATTAGAATTGCTTTGGGAGCTACTAAAAATGTTTCATGTTTAGGTCCCACCTCAAGGCAATTACATCAGAGTCTCTGAGTGAGGGCCTTGGTATTGGCTTGATTGAGTAAATCTAGGGTAGAGCCTAACATTCTACATTTTTACAAGCTCCCAGGTGATGCTGATGCTGCCAGTCCCCAAGTCACCCATTGAGTGTTAAGGCTAGAGACTAGAGGAACAGGGGAAACATCTAAGCAATGGCGAGGTTTGTCTTGGTTTGTCTGCTAAATAATTGCTGGCCATTTCAACCTGGGGTTTCCTGTTCTGTGTTTAAACACCAACTGTATTACTGGTGTCATGCTGTGACTGTTGATATAAGCAGTGGATCTCAAAAATGCATGCAGCTCCTGCCCACCATTTTCATAGTCCACTTTTAATTAGCCGCTATAACTAATAGTTTCCAAACTGATTTTCTAGGCTTAGAAGTGGAAATAAACTGCACCCGGACCCAGAATACCAAGTGCAGATGTAAACCAAACTTTTTTTGTAACTCTGCTGTATGTGAACACTGTGACCCTTGCACCAAGTAAGTTGTAGTCTTTTTCTGATTAAACCACTAGCTATAACATGAGAGTTATCATTTTCCTAGGGAAGTAACACTGACTGAGAGTTAAGAATTAGGGTTCTAGTCTTGCTTTGCCACCAAGCAACTAGATGACCGTTTGCTTATTTAAACATTAGTGAACACTTCCTGTGTAGGTGACACTTTGCTGGCCACTTAAGCTAAAGATGTGAGCCAGACACATGCCTCGTATCAAGCTGTCAGTCCAGAAGATTATGAAATATTTGGAACTACTATTATTGTAGTCAAGAAAAGCAATGGCTATTGTATTTCGGCAGCATGAGAATAGCATCAGAAGAGACTTATGTTCCAGGTGTTACGAATTATACAGGAAAACTTTTCAGCTCTGCCTGAGGAGATGGAGGTGAAGACATAAACGTGTCTCATGGCTTGAGTCTTGAAGAAAGAAAAGAAAGAGCATTAACAGGTGCACACGGAAGGAATGCACATTATAGGCAGGGGAACAGCAGCTGCAAAGAGACAAAGGAAGCGCAGGAAAACAGAGTACATGGCTGGAGTGTAGGAAAGACTAAGAAGGGGTCAGGGCTGAATCATGAAGGGCCTTGTCTTTCAGGTTAAAGAAGTTGGTTTTGACCCAAAATTAGAGAACGTGACTTGTAATTCATCTTGGGAAGCTAATAGGCTTAAGAATTAAGGGCATGATGCTTTATGTTTTATTTGCTAGGAAAATTTTATGTACAGTTGTCCCAGGCTCTCCCCTGGCCCCAAGTGTCTGAGAATACCCCTATGATGACAGGCTAGGTAGGCACTTGGGAAGCAACTGACTTAGTAAAATAATAACAATAATAGTAGTTCCAAATATTTCATAATCTTGATTTAATTTTCTTCTCATCATAACCTTTTGAAATAGATAATATTACTTCCATGTTATTGATGAGATAATAGGCTCATGACAGTCTGACTTCCCAAGCTCACCTAGTCAGGTAACGGGCAGAGGCTGTGAACTCAGACAACCTGACTGTGAATGTCTGTCTGTCTGAAAGAAATCACATATGAACCTCTTGAGTCTCCTGATCACCACCGTATGCTAAAAGTAGCAGCCTCTAAGGGCCAGCTGAGTACCCTCCCTGAGCCGCATCATGGGCATGGCTATCACCTGGCCATTTTCTCAGCTATGGGAATTTTTTGGAATTACTCTTGGCAGTTTAAGAGCTAGTTTAAGCTGTAGGATTTATGTGTTCAGTTTATTACCAGGTTTAAGTTTATTTTTGTGTCTACTTCATCTCTCTTGTGTGTCACTATTTTCCTATCTTCCTTTAACTCTTGAAATCTTAAAACAGAGTCATTCCTTATGATATTTTTCATCCAGCCATCCAAATTATATCAACTTGTGCCTGCTTTAGATACTACTCTAGAAATATTTGAGGGAATATGTTTGCCAGAGATGCAAAGACGAATAAAATGGCCCCTAATTTATAACGTGCCATTGAAAATGATCAAGGAATCATTCCTCCAGGCTTTTGAATTTCCCCTGTATTTTGTTTTCTAGGTGTAAACATGGAATCATCGAGGAATGCACACTCACCAGCAACACCAAGTGCAAAGAGGAAGGTAATTATTTTTTGACGGTTATATTCTCCTTTCCCTCATCCCCATGGAAAGATGTGAAGAAAAACCAATCACTCTTGATTATTTGAGAGTCCTTTGTTTAATCTTAAAGATTGCTTATTTTCATATAAATGTCCAATGTTCCAACCTTCAGATTCCAGATCTGATTTGCTGTGGTTATGTCTTCTTCTTCTCCTAATTCCACCAATTGTTTATGGTAAGTTCTTGCTTTGTTCAAACTGCAGATTGAAATAACTTGGGAAGTAGTTCACAAAGATTTGCCTTATTCTTACCTATAAAAAGCTACCAGTTCGGTAGATTTATGTATTGTTAACTTCTTGCCTCCGAATGCAGCCTTGAGAGCTGATAGATAAGAACAAATGAAATCATCCCTCAGCTAGTTTCTGAGCAACGGTTTTGGGGCATTGAGTGGTATTCTAATCCTTCCTATGAATAAGGGTTCTCTGCAGCAGTGGAGTTGGCCAAAAATCAGAAGTAATTCTTCACTATTCATTGAGATCTCCGTATGCAAAAAGAGAACACAAGAAGCAAAGGCATTCCCAAGAAACACATTGCAGGGAACGGTTAAAAAACTTGTACTTCTCTGCCTCCTCTTCCTTGGCCTAATGGCTTGTTTTTAATTATTTCTCCTCATTAACTTAAAATACTATGGGAACACATGTTATACAAAGGTGACTCAGTAGAGTCAGTAGAAAAGCCAAAATTAGGTATAATCATAATTAGTCTAGAAAAATCCCTTTAAGTCATTCATCAACTACAGTGTCATACCAACTTTCGGTAACTTAGAAATATCCAATTTTCCCTTCTCTGTCAGAACAATTCTCTGTTTCTTCGGTTCAGTTGAAGAAGAAAGTTTGCCTTGCCGTTAGCAGTTGTTTAGCTGAAAATACATTTGGGATATTTAAACACTGTAATTGTGCTCAGAGACATACAGATTCTTCTATCTCACATTGACGTTAATGCATACACCTACTGAGTATGTATACTTGAGTTATTTGTGTGTGTATTTCAATTTCTGGGCATCCATAGCAAGTTGATGTTGACTTGCTTGTTCTGCAGCTTCTGTGTCCTGCCATAGTCTTGCCATCCACATCTTTGCTGGACAGGGTGTGGTGCTTGCCATGTAAGTCAAAAACCATCTTCATGCTAGGCCAGCTCATGGTAATTAGATGACTAATTAAGATATGTCCTTTCACTAGAACACTTGACTTAGTGGTACGAAAGTTTCAAAATCAGCTGCCTTCTGTGGTGTTTGGCCACTTTTAAGTTTCAATGAATTTCTCCTTTTCCCTTCTTATACTTCTCTTAGTATGAAAGTATGTTCTCACATGCATTCTACAAGGCTGAGACCTGAGTTTGATAGAATGTCTTTGTTCTTTCAGTGGTGATAAAGAAAGCATGCAGAAAGCACAGAAAGGAAAACCAAGGTCCTCATGAATCTACAACCTTAAATCCTGTAGGTATTGAAATAGGTATCAGCTTTCCTTAAAAAAAAAAAAAAAAGTAGAGAAATTAGTGATTTGGCTTTTTGTTACTTCCTTTTACTTTTTTGTTTCTTGTTTGTTTGCTTCATTTTGTTTGAGATGGAGTCTTGCTCCATAGCCCAGGCTGGAGTGCAGTGGTGCAATTATGGCTCACTGCAGCCTCAAACTCCTGGGCTCAAGTGAACCTCCTGCCTCAGCTGGGACCCTGAGACTACAGGCATGCACCACCATGCCAGGTTAATTTTTTTTTTTTTAATTTTTTATAGAGACAGGGTTCACTTTGTTGCCCAGGCTGGTCTCAAACTTTTGGCCTCAAGCAATCCTTCTGCCTCAGCCTCCCAAAGTGCTGGGATTATAGGTGTGAGCCATCACATCTGGCCTGTTACTTTCTTTATTTAAACATTGCTTGTGTTTGTGTGTGCATAGGTTAAAGGGGCCTCACAGATGAATTATGATATGGTACCCAATTTAAAAGTAAGCTTCTACACAAAAACCGTAAGAATCAACAAAGGAGGGAATTGAGAGTGTGCTGAAAATGAGCTGAAAAAAAATCATGGCCAACCTCCATGTTCCGTGTTGTTGTTATCCCTGCAGAGAAACAGCCTTTACCAGGCATGGGTTCAGTATCCAAGCCTGAGCAAAGAGATTGCTCTTAAAGTTTGTCATAAAGGCTTAACTTTCTCTGGCTGCCGGTTGACCTTATGTCTCACCATATCTTTTCCCAACATGGTATCAATACATTTCAGATAGCAAGAAATACGCCGAGAAAAGAAACCAGGTGCGCTTGATGGAATTATTTTATTTGGGACCAGGGCTCAGTGGGAGTTAGGATTCTTTAAATTAATATGGTAAAAAAAATTTCAATTTGAGCCATTTTCTGGTATTAAAAATAAGAATAGTTACAGGGAAGAAAATTTTAGAGTGGTTATATTTATCGTTTAATAAGTCTACATGAAAAATAACCTCAACCTATTTTATGAATTCTTTAGGTTTCTTGCCTTTAAAAACTGAGACAATATTGCTCAGTTTCTGGCAAGGCTGGAACCTTTCAGAATAAAAATTGAATGGTAAAAGTATGCTTCTTAATCACTTAATCTAGCTTCCTAATTTTATACATCAAGCAACTGATTGTACTTCTTTCTGAATTAAGGAAAAATTAGAAGTTTACATTTAGAATATGCTAAAGATATATTTCTATTTATCTTTCTCTGCTTCCATTTTTTGCTTTCTAGGAAACAGCAATAAATTTATCTGGTAAGGCTTTTATTGTTTTATTTCATAGAGATGGCTTCCTTTAGAGTAATAGGCCAATTTCAGAGTAAAATAATGTTGCTACTTTCAGTGACGTATTGTGGGATCTTGTTATTTCTCATACAATTTTACCTGCTCAGCATAAAGCATTTATCAGGCAATTTGTTTAAATTTATAATGAATACTCATAGATAAAATAATCAAGTAACAATAGGACACAATAGTCTGAGGCTTAAGAAACTTCTCCTACATAATCAGCTAGATGTATTACAGAACGCCTGCCTAAACGGATCTAGAGGTTAAAGTGCACTGTAGACTCAGGTATTATCGGTGTACCCAACTCTGTAACAACATACATGATTCCATTCAGTTGTTCTTTGATCTGTGATTTAGGGATAAGATGATCATAAACTCTTTGCTTATACTTTTAGATTTGTGGATCATTGATCATTGGATCCATGAGAGATGTTATAGATGATCTTTTCCAATCCTCTTATTTTATAAATGAGAAAAGAAGACACAGAAATGTTATATATTGTGCCCAGGTTATTTAACAAATTACCGGGTACATGGCAGGATTTGGAGTTAGAACTCAAGATTGCCTTGTTTCTGTATTCCCGCAGTCAGCTCTTCACAGATCTTTAGGACTTAGCTATATTCTGAAGTACTATAAAAAGAGAAATAAACATGGTTTTCAGTAATGGGAATTTCATTTAGAAAAACAAATTTTTAGACTATTTTCTATTTTTCAGATGTTGACTTGAGTAAATATATCACCACTATCGCTGGAGGCATGACACTAAGTCAAGTTAGAGACTTTGTTCGAAAGAATGGTGTCAGTGAAGCCAAAATAGATGAGATCAAGAATGACAATGTCCAAGACACAGCAGAACAAAAAGTTCAACTGCTTCGTAATTGGTATCAACTTCATGGAAAGAAAGATGCATGTGATACATTGATTAAAGGTCTAAAAACAGCCGATCTTTGTACTCTTGCAGAGAAAATTCACGCTGTCATCCTCAAGGACATTACTAGTGACACAGAAAATTCGAACTTCGGAAATGAAGTCCAAAACTTGGTCTAGAGCAAAAAACAACAAATTCAGTTCTGAGTATATGCAATTAGTGTTTGAAAAGATTCTTAATAGCTGGCTGTAAATACTGCTTGGTTTCTTACTGGGTACATTTTATCATTTATTAGCTCTGAAGAGCCAACATATTTATAGATTTTTAATATCTCATGATTCTGCCTCCAAGGATATTTAAAATCTAGTTGGGAAGACAAATGTCATCAAGAGTAAATGCAGTGGCATGCTAACTACCTAAATAGGAGTATATGCAGAGGACGAAAGATTAAGATTATCTTCTGGTATCTAACATATGATTCTGTAGTATGAATGTAATCAGTGTATATTAGTACAAATGTCTATCCACAGGCTAACCCCATTCCATGAATCAACAGAAGCAGCTATGACCTTCTGTTGGAATGTCAGTTACTGAACAGGCCACTTTGCCTCTAAATTACCTCTGATCATTCTAGAGATTTTACCATATTTCTAAACTTTGTTTACAACTCTGAGAGGATCATATTTATGTAAAGTATATGTATTCAAATGAAGAATTTAAATAAGGCTCTACCTCAAAGAATTTTGCACAGATTAATCATATCATAGAATACAATATTTCAATTGTGAATTCACATAGAAAACATTAAATTATAATGTTTTACTATTATGTATGTGTATGTCTTTTACCGGCTCAAAACCACCTACTTCTTTCTCAGGTGTCAAAAGCATTTTGAGCAGGAGAGTATTGCTAGAGCTTTGCCACCTCTCCATTTTCTCCTTGGTGCTCATCTTAATGGCCCAATGTACCTCCAAACATGGAAGTATCATCAAAAAATTACTTAATCCACCAAAAGGCAAGACTACCCTTAGAAATTCTAGCCTGGTTTGGAGATACTAACTGCTCTCAGAGAAAGTAGCTTTGTGACATGTCATGAACCCATGTCTGCAATCAAAGATGATAAAGCAGATTCTTATTTTTCCCCCACTCCCCAAAATGTTCAATAATGTCCTATGTAAAACTTGCTACAAATGGCAGCTTATACATAGCAATGGTAAAATCATTATCTGGATTTAGGAATTGCTCTTGTCATGCCCTGTAGGTTCTTAGATTTAAAAGCCTTCTCATTGCTGCTGCTATCCTACATTTAAATACCTTTGAAAGTTTGTATTAAATGTGAATTTTAAGAAATAATATTTATATTTCTATAAATGTAAACTGTGAAGAGAGTTAAAAACTGAAGCAGATGCCTAGAACCACCTAAAGAACTTCCATTTATAGAGGATTTTTTGCCCCTTGTGTTTGGAATTATAAAATATAGGTAAAATTTTCTGGTTTTCTCTTTTTTGGTAGGGGCTTGCTTTTTGGTTTTGTGTTCCTTTTCTCTAAATGCTGCTAAATATAACTTGTTTATGAATCTTTAATGCTTCTTGGGTTTCTTAGAAGATACTTCCTTTTTAACCTTAACACTTTTAGCAGGTAAATAATTATTTCCATAAGTTGCAACTGCCAAGAAGACCTCTTCCAAACAGCACATGATTATTTGTCAAACAGCGTCATATTCCAGATACTGGAATGTGGATAAGAAAGTATAAATTTCAAGGGGTAAGTTTTATTATTATTATTATTATTTCATTATACTTTATGTTCTAGGGTACATGTGCACAATGTATAGGTTTGTTACATACATATACATGTGCCATATTGGTGTGCTGCACCCATTAACTCGTCATTTACATTAGGTATATCTCCTAATGCTATCCCTACCCCCACCCCAACCCCACAACAGGCTCTGGTGTGTAATGTTCCCCTTCCTGTGTCCAAGTGTTCTCATTGTTCAATTCCCACCTATGAGTGAGAACATGCGGTGTTTGGTTTTCTGTTCTTGCAATAGTTTCCTGAGAATGATGGTTTCCAGCGGCATCTATGTCCGTACAAAGGATATGAATTCATCCTTTTATATGGCTGCATAGTATTCCATGGTGTATATTTGCCACATTTTCTTAATCCAGTCTGTCACTGATGGACATTTGGGTTGGTTCCAAGTCTTTGCTATTATGAATAGTGCCACAATAAACATACGTGCACATGTGTCTTTATAGCAACATGATTTATAATCCTTTGGGTATATACCCAGTAATGGGATGGCTGGGTCAAATGGTATTTCTAGTTCTAGTTCCTTGAGGAATTTCCACACTGTCTTCCACAAAAATCCCACCAACAGTGTAAAAGTGTTCCTGTTTCTCCATATCCTCTATTGTTCCCTGACTTTTTAATGATCGCCTTTCTAGCTGGTGTGAGATGGTATCTCCTTGTGGTTTTGATTTGCATTTCTCTGATGGCCAGTGATACTGAGCATTTTTTCATGTGTCTGTTGGCTGCATAAATGTCTTCTTTTGAGAAGTGTCTGTTCATATCCTCGCCCACTTTTTG